CAGTGGAAGTAAAAATCCAGATGAAATCTCTGAAGACCCAACTCATCAGACGCGTACTGTAACAAATATCACTTTCTCACTACATTCCAACCAAATTGCCCAGCATCTTTAAGTTTAAAGTCATAAAATGATCCTAAAATATGGGCCAGCAAGCCTAATTCTTGATCAGCTCCCTTTTAAAAATGATATACACATTTTCTGAAAAATGTCTACTTTTGGTCACAGGTTGCTGCTGGTGCTGCGTATTGGGTACATGCAATCAGAAACGTGGATTTCCCAGTGATGTGGGGCTGTCCGATAATCTTTCATTCACCATTTTTCTTTCCTGTCTCTGAATTTCTTCAGCTGTGCCCATATGAAGAGGAAGTCCTAGCTGCAATCCTAGTGCCTCCCAATCAGGGATAGAGAGACCCTGGGCTTCATTTACAGAGAAGATGATCAGACCGCCAGAGGCACAGCACCGATTTCTGAACATTATGACTTCCGATCACAAGAATAACTGAACAACCATGTTCAAAATGAACCCTGTTATTAATCACATAGCTTTATCATTAACTCAATTTGCATCTTTCACATTTAACAAAAACCCAAATTGCATGAAAACAGTCTGTTAACATCATACAGCTGTTTTTTTTTAAATACACATACCAAAAAGAATTTTCATTGAACTGCTACAAATAAGTCACCCTAGGGTTTCTCCATTGTTTATAAGTCACAAGCAAATCATGTTTTATGCATTTCATTTCCATGAGTCATGTGAAAATTATTTAAAGAAGTAAGATATGTCTGAAACTTGGTTTAATTTTCCCTTACACTGGGCAGCATTCAGCATTCAGTACATTCATTCAAGACATTAAGAGCAGTCATCATTTTCACAGAACATAAGCTCAGAGTCAGGAGCAAAACAGCTCAGCAGAAGTTTACAAAAGTGTAAAAGTGCCATATCAACAAAGGTAACAAAAACACAATTAAATTTAAATAAATGTATTCTCAGTTTGGAGGAATGCAATGAAGTTAGTTTGACAGCACAGCATGAAATGTAGAAGATCAGGAAAATTTAAGACGTAAGACCTACAAAACAGAAACATCCTTAAACTGCAACTGGAATAAATTGCCCTGACGGCAGCACTAATGGCTACAAGTGACTTTGCTGTCCCTGCGTGTCGTTGCCAAGTGAGCAGACTGTCTGCTGAAACAAATGAAGTTTAAACCACTCCAAACCTAAGGCACGAAATAAAAATGCAAATATGAATATTCCCTCTGTGGAATTCAGAACCAGGAACTTCATGCTATAAAATCCTGAGTTCATGGACCGCAAGGCTGATATACATCTGCCATGTTTATGATGTGACAACTCCTTCCTGTCAAGGGGTTGCTAGCAATCGTGAGCCAAGCTGTGTTTTTCAGACCCTCCATCTATTCTGTGTAAATGCCTGCTGATGGTAGGTTTTTTTTTTAAATCTGCTTACACATATGCAAGAAGATCCACCTTTCCCCTTACAGTGAAATTGACAGAGGATGTTCTCAAGCTTTCTTTTAAAACCGTTGTCTGTCTATAATCCTATAACCTGGCAACAAAGTGAGAACTGCTGTAATATGGTACAGACATTTCATACTCTGCTCTGAAGAATTAACAGCTTCCAGAGATAATGAGCATTATTATTATTACTGCTGCTATCTTTCCTGTGGTGCATAATGTATTTATTTTAGAACAGGATCAGAACGCCAGAAGCCTGGGGCACTAACGTAGACAATCTACCTGACTCTGGCTACCCATAAACCACTCCCCTAAATCAGGAAGGATGGGGAAAAATACAGTAGGCTTTAAAACAGCCTTCAAAAGGATTTGGCAAACAGATACACAGGAAGTGTGGCTAATTCAAACTTATACTGGCTAATAAAAGGCATACCAACAGTTTACAAAGCAAACAATTCAAAGAGAATTTGTCTCACCATTTAAGGACATTTTTTAGTTTTAAATTGAACACTTCAGTGTTCACTTCACTTTCATTTAACACTTTGTATTGCAATGTATAAGTAAATGTCTAGTCTATGCAAGTACAAATTGTCTAATGCCTGTACAGGACAAGTCTCATTGCTCATGTGAACGAACCACAGTATTTTAGAGTACTGCATATTTTATAAATTATTGAAACTTTATTACATTCAACTAAAAAGTTTGAAGAATAGGCATTACAGAAATTACCAATTTATCAGTAAACTCTTCTATCAAACGTAATTTGTGCATCTGTTTTTATAAGTTCCAAACCATGAATGAGACAAGCCCACATATTATTTTTTCCATTAAGAAATTGTAATTTTTTTTTTCAAATAATTACAGTCCACGTTCTCTCAACTCTTCCACCAAGATGATTACATTACCATTCTTCAGTTTAACCCACTGTAATTTCACAGCTCTGAAAGGGAATTTCACCTTAAAACCATTAAAGGTTTCATCATCAATGAAGACACTGTTTCTCAAAAACATATGCATAACACTTCTAAGGAGTCTGAAAAACTGCACCTTTTAAAAAAAGTGGACTAGAAGACATGATGGCAAAGAGAGAAATGGATTCACAAAAGCCTCTTTCTTCCACTCCTGTCTTGGTATTCAATTATCATCTACCAAAAAAACTCTGCCCTTTATACGACAGATAACTGTATTTACAAGCACCGCTTTGTCACCAGATACAACACAAGTATTGAAGGCACAGAATGCTCAATTGTTGTCTTATTCTAAGAGCAAATTGCACAATAAATCAGTTTAGGTCTAAGGTTCTCAAGAAGGAACTCTGCAAAGAAAAAAACTAAAATTATCCCACATTTTTTTTAATGACACTTCTCAAAACAAGACTACGTATGCAAAGAGTTAAATATTTTGTCAAATCTAAAAACTAAATCGATCGATAAAACTCCTCTCTGTCACTACCATTCTTTCATAACCGACCTCTTGGTTTTTTTTAACTGGAAACAGGCTGTGACATGCACTTTAGCAAAGCACAGATGAGCCGCGAGTTTAAGAGAAACGTAAGGAAATCAGAACGTATGCTCAGAACACAAAGACTCTAAATGTAGTGTGAAGGCCGCAAAAACGTCCCTCCGTTTGGGGATTAAAGTTACAGGAAATCACCGCCTACTTGCAAACAACTTAACCCCAGGGAAGCATATACATAAGAAAAAGTGTTGAATGCAAAGGGAATCTTCCTACATTTACAACCCAAGTCAAAAACAGATTATGACTGAAAACAAAAATATATTTTTAAAAATAAAAACTTGCAGTCAATACCTATAAACCCTTTGCATGCATGCTCATAATTGCTATACCAATAGGGCAACACGCATTCCTACTATCCACCAAGTCTGATCTGCTTCACTATGAAAGGCAGGAGCTCTTGGCAAAGAGTATTTGATTTGTCTCTGCATTGTTTTCATAACAGGGACAGATGTATTTGTCTTAATAATCTTCCACCCATTTTTCCAGAGCAGAAATAATGAAATGACACAGATATACCCACACCCTTCCAATATTTAAATTAAACATGAACAAAAAAAATGAAATCAGCTACCGCTGTTCTGCAGGGATGTAGGGTCTTTATTAAAATAAACTTTAGCACCTAACAGGGAGATGACCAGCCAAACATCCTTCATATTGTGTGTCACTCAGACGCATATTCCCTTCACAGGATGTTCCCAGGCCAGGGGAACTACCGCAGTAATTGTATTTAATGCAGCAGAGCAGGAAGAGACCCCTCTTCTGCATTAGCACAATAAAAACAACAATCACGTTTTGACAAAGCTCATGTCTGTAACACGCCAACACATAATAGCAAATTCAATGCGAGGTCTACACTGTATTTCCTTTACACGCATTTTAACAAAAAGTAAAATTTAAATACAAGCAATTGTTCTAGTCTGTGATCTAAATTTCATTATTTCTTGATTGTGCTATTTTAGTGAATTATCTAATAATTAAAACAGGCTGGATATTATTTCTAGTTTTCACCACGTGCTAATTTACAGTACAGTCATTAAGAAATTCACATTAAAGGTCTCCAATAACATTGCCGGCATACAGAGTTATTCATTTAGTCTGTAACACAGATCAATACTTCAGATTCATTGAAAAGCTCTATGTGAAAAACAAATACAGAGATATTAACACATGCATGCACATAGCAGACATATGGCTCTACACAGGCTAAACAACTTTTAAAGACAATGAAACTCTTCAGTACATAAGAACCCTTTTCAGTCCTTAATGCCCAACCAAACCCAATATTTAAAACACTGCAACAGCTAAATTAATACTTTCAGATGTCAACTCATATAATTCTAGTGTACAGTACTACTTGTGCTTTCACCCAACAGCCTTAAAGGTCAAGCAATGCTCTTCAATATGGTCTGCATTTATCCTATTCACTTCCAATAAACAGGTACTGCGCACTTGAAATAAACACAGACATGCTTAACTTTTGACAGCATTTTCAAGCACGATGAGACAGTTTTGAAGATGGCAAATGTACGTAGTATGTACTGTACCTCTCCACGTTTTATTCAGCAAGGAAACTGTTTAGCAGTATCTCCTTGCCCTAACAGCATGCATGTACCATGCCAATTCCAGGTGGACATATAAGGTTTCAAACACCAGATGTGCTAACTGAATGCATGTATAACGCAAAAAAAAACTGTACAGGAGAATGATGAATACTGATTACGTTTTTTTTATAGGCTCCTAATTAACACTTACAAAAAAAACAACAGTAACTTTCTCAGTTGTGCCCGGGGATACAGCATGAATCCTTAATTAGTTACTGATCAACTGTAAGACACTGCAACATCTAATTACAATAGCAATTAATAAAGGAAACAGTATTTATTACTATTATTATTATTGAGGACAGCAGTAATACAATATCATAAGAGGGCTACATGACTATGCATGTTTTTCCCAAAGAGAAAAGCCTATTAAATCACAGGCTCCACATGTGTTTCTACCCTACCTGATGCACTGAATTGGCTGCTTCCCAGGGTAGTAGGTCTGTTTTTTCCGCTGTTTACAGGTGGAGAGAACATCTAAAAAACAAACGAATAGAGAATAAAATTATACTTTAAGTGCCTCACAACATGAGCTTTTCCTCATCCCCTACATCAGTGAACAACCTTGTAAAAATACTTCAATCCCACAAATTCTCCCTGACATGCATTTTACATATAAAGCATATTACAAGACCTAATTAAAATGGTGTATTTTCAGGTTTGTTAATTTTTAACAAATCTGAATTGTTGCGATAACTTTCTCATACCACTTGCTCTGAAATCGATCCATATTTTAACACAGATGTAATATATGCAAAGCGTTTGAACACTGTACACATCGCCATCCTTTTATTTAATGAATAATATGGCAAAAAATGAGTCAGAATCACACGGTTATTTCATGAAACTATGCAATGAAACCGACTACAAACCCGAGTGTGCATGAAGGAGAAATGGAAACTCCTGCTCGAGATCTGCTAATATAAAGCAATTTTCTGTCCGTTTAAAAAAAAAACACTGCATATGCCTCAAGGAAAGTAAAAAAAAAAAGATTTGTTCTCTTAAATGCTAGAATGCATTCTTCGGTCATTTTGCACAGAACTACCTTGATTTAAAAAAAAACAATCCATCTTTAAACACAGCACGATAAACCCAACAAACCTTAAAATCAGATTATAACACGTAGATTGGGTCAAAGCATTTTCTTTTTCCTTATCTAGATGGAGTGACCCAGAGTACAGTATTTAATCTGAAGAGGTCTAGACGTTACAACTAAGTTCAGGTGTCTCGCAATGAGTCATTAACCTAGAACCTACGGGTGGACAACTTCCAGTCTGCCTTGTAAACGGATTTCCCTTGGAAGAGGAGGAAAGCAGTATGAAAAAAGACAACATGTAACGTCTGTCCTACCGCGCTAAAATCCAGCAGATCGCTGAGCTCCTTATCAGTTCCAATAGCGGCAATCCGCTGTTGAGGGTTCATCTTGGGCTCCTTTAACTACACCTAGAAAACAAGCACGGAAAACGAATCTCCTTCATTTTAAGGTTTTGGTTTTTTTTTTTACGAGACGTAGACCAGCTACAATCGGGACGACCAGTAGCTCTTTAATCACCACTAAAATTAAAGGCTTCTCCGCGTTATCCTCCCAACGCCGAACTCCACAACACGCTAAATAAAAAAAAATCAGCTAATAACACACAAAACTTGATTTGGTTTGCGGGTGCTTTCGGCGATCACCGCTGTGTCCGATTTTTTTTTATTCTTTCACAGAACATACATCACGCAATCCAGTTCGAAAGAAATATAAATATTTAACCTGGCAATTTCCCACAAACGTATATTCTTCATGGGCAGCAAAAACTAGCCTAGCACTTGGCAATAGTTGTAACAATAGAATCGACTTTCCGTGTGGACTCTGCGCTACGTGTTTACCTCTCATACTGCTCCAAACACAATTGGAAGAGCCAAAACCCGTCTAGGGAGTTAAGAAGACACATTTCTCACTAAAAATCGATATAATGCAATGCTTCAACCCAATTTGCGCTGGACGGTTTAAATGCACGCCACAAGCTCCCGAGAAGTGACATTCGCATCCGCAACATCGGTCTGCCTTGATTTTGGCCAATAAAGACACCGGAGCAGCCCAGTGTAGAATTTGCTTGTACGATAGCAACTAACTTTCCTTCACTCGGTGTTGTTTTTTTGGGGGGGGATAAACGGCACTGTGCACTTGGACTTGGCTATACTCTATAGAATGGGTGGTCTGGAAACTCGCTGAGACTGTCTCACGTTTTTTGGAAAAGGCTTTTGGCTGAAACCGTGCAGCGCTAAAAACAAAATAAAGTAAAGCCATGCCTGATTTTTTTTAGGCGAGAGAAAACGCAAGAGCACCTGTCGTGAATCCCGCTTTACCCGTTATGCCCTTTAAATGTTCGAATGCAATTTGCAGTAAAAGTAGTCAACCAAATGTCGACCCGTGCCTCAAACCAGCTCCGGTCTTTTCTTGTATCCCAACTTCTTTCACCTAGTCCGAACCCCTTTCTCCCAACTCACTATATTTTTTACCTTTTTCCGTTTACAAATCCAACTAGGGCGATCGGAGGTGGAAAATCGAGCCTTGTATTCCTTCTTCGCGTCTGCTCGTTTTGGGAATCAAGGAGTTTTCGGTAATATTTTTCGCCAAATATTCCCTGAATGTAACTTACGAGTTTCCCTTAGGCAGACATTTTTGCTTCGCAAACCTCAGCACCACGTTGACGCTGGGTGTTGTATCCTTCCGCCAAGCGGAGCCAAAGATGTTTCTTAACCCCTCGGACCCCGGGGGTACATCTGGGGTGACAAGCCCTCCCCCAAGCGAAAGAGACAGCCTCAATCCTGCTGCTGGAATTACGCGTCCTTAGTCGGCGATTAAATTCATTTCTGAGACAACCTAAATACTTAGGGACCCGGTGAGGTCATTTCTTCCATTTAAAAAAGCGTGGAGTTACCGTGATCTTCTTGGTGACCAGATAATCCAGAACCTACGTGTTCAAGATTTAGATTTTTTTTTTGTTACCTGGCAGGCGATGTGAATGAACAACTGCAGCCTTCTGACGATTTAGCGAATAGCGTGTGTGCACTGGCTGTTTTGTAGAGGCATTCACCCATGCTAACATGCTAATGTATCAGTAAGAGTCAAATGTTCCTCTTAGTTTCTGTTTTAAACTTTATACTGTATGTAACGTCTCAAGACTGCGTGGTTTGGTGCCCTTTTAAGGGTGAGAAAGGTGCTTTCAGTGCGGTTGTACAGTTTCACAGAGAGGAGAGTGGACCAGTATACCAGCAGTGTGTCTTAAATGACTGTGCAGAAAGCAAATTTTACATTTTCCTTTAAAACTGAAACAAAGGATATACATGAACTCCACCAGACAATTCCGCATCAAATCTCTGGATTACAGGAGCAGTGTCTGCATTCAACCCGCCCAACCGTTTTTTAACATTAAAACATTTGCAGAAGTAGTCTTCACTATTATGAAGGACTCAATGCAAGTCCAAAAATCAGCAACTGAAGCAGACAGCGGGGCGTGATGGTTTTCGTTCATCGTTTGCAAACACCGATAAAAACACCTTTTTCATTAGAAAAAGCTTGAGTTATACGCACACAATTTCTGAGGACATATAAATAATTTCACCCTTAATGCCAGCGCCTTCTGTGGGATAAAACCAGAGTAAAAAGTCAAATTATTTTCAACCTGGTACGTTGACAAATACATTGAAACATGATTTTTTGTAGCACCAAAATTTGCATGCATACAACACATTAAGTAATCGATAGGCACTCGTTTTGGTGACGGTGCCAAAAAAAGTTAGGGGGTTTTTCTAAACAGATTTTAGTAGATATATGCGATTGCATTGGACAAGCTTTCCGCTCGAAAAGCTCGGCTCTTGTGTTGTATCCGGTGCCATTCCCTGTCATTAACTTTCTGTATAAACAGCAACAAAAAGTTTCCTTTTTCTCCACCACTAACAATAAACTGGAACTATTTTTCCTTCCGCTAATGGTGAGCCAAAGGGGAGTGCTGTGCTCAATGTTTTGCTGTCAATGACTGACAGCGGATTACTCGCTGACTCTGTAGTGCAAGCAAAACCAATCAAGAAGGACCCTTCCATCTCCAAGGTTTTTCAGATCGAATGGGATGGACTTTTCAAAGGGATATTTTTTTTTCAGGGATCTGTAAAACCTGCGTTGCAAACACCAAAAGGGAAACAGAGCCAAATCCTCTGTATCATCAGAAATGGTGATGTTTTGCATAATTGATATTAGTTCGGACTTGGCTTAGTTTGAGCGGTTTCAGAATGTGGCTGGGGTGGAGTGTTTTGGAAAAGATAACAGCAACAGTTGGACTGTGTGCAAATACTACAAAAGGCCAGGCATCCTAAAAACAAACTGTGTTATGGATAGCAGCCATAAAAGTTTGCAGAAACCGATTAAACATGTGTTGAAATATTTTTGTAAGCTGTAGTAAAGTGTAACGCCTTTTTTATGTTTAACCTTCTAGGTGTCAACATCACACGCACTGAACTGGAAAACAACATGTTTGCTTGGAAGATTGACTAATTCAAGAATCTCAAAAGGTGTTGTGTGTCGGTACTCGTAACTGCTGGAACATTGTTACATTTGCTAGAAGAAAGGGTCTACTTCGGATCTAAACTAAAGTAAACTTTAAAAAGAAAACTTTAGTTTACTTTTAGTGAGTACATTAAGAAACTGGAAGCTGCAAATTAGATTAGTTCAATATACACTGCAAATGGAAGAACGGTTTGCAAAGCTTTTAACGACCTACTGTAGATGAGAGTGGTTTTCCCCCTCTTCAAGTAGGTTAATGGGGGTCAGTATGTTAAGGGTATATTTCGTATTTTACTGTATTTTTTCTCATCGTTTAATAAATGTGCCAAGAAGCCGCGGATGTGAATGTCCATGCGGTAGCCAAGGGGATGCTTTGAGAGCACGACCGCCGTTTGGGAACAAGGACAGAGGACAACGGCGTTAAAAACGATGCTGCTGTAGAGCTTATATACTTTGATCGCGGTTTCTTAGTTCAGACGACTGTGTCTAACTGTTCCGACGTTTAACGAAGTATCGAGGGGTGTAGGAATGTTATCAGTCAAAATCTTATCCGTCGCTTAATCTTATCCCTTTTGCGCTCGGAGAACCTTCGGCTTTTGTGATTTCAGTTTTGGATAATTAAAAGTTGTTGTCTGGCGGTGGGTAGCAAAGGGCAGGTTTGTGGCGTGCCTGACAAACGACCAATAAATCCAAATTCCGCTTGTAAGGAAAACGAACACTAGGTTTTCTGTGGCGTTTGAGCGCACGGCACAAAAGGGGTGGATTTGTAAGGTAACTTAACCAAGGGGCCTTCTGGTATTTAGGAAATGAAGAGCTTGGCCAGATAAATGCCCCTGAGAGTTTAATATTGTTCTGCAGCTAGCGTTTTAGGAGTCTGTAAACGCAGATTCCTGTGAAGAAATGGCATGCAAATTATAGCTCGCTGACAGAGCCTCGACAGTACCACATTCAAGGGGTTTCCGAGGTTCATTTTAGTCATCGACAGAGGAAATCCGTTGAATTTGTCTGAAAGGGTTTTCAATCGCTGTTGCATGTTTCAGTGTCTACGGTGTTTTCGTAGCTGCCACACGTTTTAGTGCTAAATTCCTATGAGAAATTCCAAAAATAATCATCGTAAGAGGGAGCTCGCTAGCTGTCGTTTTTAATGTATTTTTTTAAAAGAAAAAACAAAACAATTGAAAGTAGCCAACCCACGCGAAGCAAGAGTTTTGTTAAGCCCAGCCAACGCGATCCAAATACAGGAAGCCTTTAGGACGGCTTAATGCTTGAATACAGGGTCTACAACAGGCTGTCCCGCTGCCATGTGTAAACCGATTCCATTTGGGAAATACAGATGTTTACCCAAGGAATGAGATGTTTTGTGTCTTTTAAAACGACAATTTCTTGTGTACCTGTACGCCGGGCGGTTGTTTAAAACCATATTTGTAGCAGATTTTCTATGCTAATTTGCGTTTATATTCTTTCTCTTACCCATTACAAACGTTTACGTTTTTGTACATTTTAAATATTCCTGCTGTTTCGCCCTACAGAACGCCCAATGCACATAAAAAAATCCTTGATGTCACACAGCGAAAAGAGGGAATCGATGGTTTCGTTTTGCCAACCGGCAAGGTTTTTCTGTTTAAAAAATTTGGAAATGAAACAAAAACTTATTTTGTATTTGCGTGTAGTTACACACACAAAAAAAAGTTTCGCTTGGGGGTCTGGTCCAGTTTAGTTACTGCCCCCCTGAGTGCAATTCCTGAAATAATTTTCTCTGTTGCGACCACAGCATTAAGTCTGACGGTAAAAGCTTTTGTTACTGGAATCCTGGGTCTTCAGCCGTCAATCTAAGTGCTGAGTCACTGCGAGGAGCGCAGTTAGCACGGCAGAGGTCGACCCCAAACAAAGGAATGACGTAAGAGAATTGGATTTTTGACAATGGATATTGTAACAATGTAAAGAGGATGCGACAACTGCGTTTTAATTGGCACAGATTCAGTCGCAACAGGGGTAGCAAAAACGTTTTATTTTGCCTATATTGTCTATACAGAAAGCTGAAAAGTTTTCGAGTGCTTGTTGAGAAACCTGTCGCTCACGTTGATCAAGTCGAAGAATAACTTTTTTTTCCACTGCTCAAAGAATTAATCGGAAACTTTCTGAAGCCCAGCACAATTTTGATTATTGTTATAATTGAAATGGATATATGTAGACGTAGAGACGACGTCATTCTTATGCAAAATGTTTCATAAAATAGCTTTTAGCAATGAGTCACCGGAAAACACACGTACTGTAAAGGAAAGTTGGGGAAATTGTGGAGCTCGGATGTTCATTTTTTAAACAGTCCTTTACAGATAGCGTCACATTATGAGGACTATATTTTCTAATTCTATGTACATTTTCTATGTACAAATCCACCATCCATAGTGGACTGCATAAATTAGTCCTACGCGTCCAATTAAGTGATTTTAAATATGAAAGGCATGACTATAACTCAGTATTTACTGCAAAAACACCTCACACACCATCTACACACTCAAAGAATAAAGACAGAACTGCACACTCTGATTGCTTTAACTGTAACTCATCTGAAAACAGCACTAGTTTATGGTTCGTGTACGGTATCGTCTTAACATTATTTTTTTACCTTAAAAATGTGATTACAAAATAACTTTGAAATAAGTAAGATGTTACAAAATAACTTTGAAATAAGAAAGACGTGCCGGAAAAAGAAAACACTGTACTTTGGGACACAGATAACCATTGGTCCATTCCATCAGTTCATTCTGTATTGAAATATTGAATTAAATGTTTCACAAAATTACACACAATTACTTGTGCAGCACAAGATTTTGACAACCATTCGAAAATCTCTGCAGACCGAGTTGTATAATGTAGTTTAAAATGGTAATATCTGCTGGTAGACATCACAGTTGTAGATACACACATATTCTTCCTCTGCACGTTACTTCAGTTCGTTTTGTCAAATTCACAGTGCCACCTGTTGGGTAGCTCAGCATCACTCACCGTGTTGGACGAACTGTGTCAAACTGCATCACCTCTGTTTCAGCGCCCCCTGGTGACAGGAATTACACACATAGAAACAGATGTCAAGTTATTTGCACTCCGAACAAAGCTAATGAAATGAATGAAAACTTCTATTTAACTCTTTTTTTTCCTCCACGCTTTCACACAACATGTTCTTAGGGCTAGCTTGTACTTTTTTTTGTACGTGAGCCATTAAAGATTGCAGTTTGTGAGGTGAACAAACACTTGTAAA